AGCGTAATTACCGGTTAGCATCAGGACAACTCGTTTTAAGGCGTGCATGCTGGAAATGTGCTGCTTAAACTCCAGGTATTGTGCTTTAAATGCTTTAGTTTTTGTTTAATGCAAAAGTGTGCAGACTTTTAAATGGGCTGCGTTGTAAAAACCTTACCAAAGAACAACTTCAGGCCTTTTCTAAAGTCTCAGTGTACTAGGGCTGGGCAAACAATGAATAGTCAGTAATGATTTTTATGATGATAAAACAATTGGCAACATTGTATAGTTAAATGTAGTGATGATTTTCAGGTTTCAAGATGTTAGACTAGTTTTACAACTATAATTTCAGAAGCAAAAACAATAATTTCCATGAATAAGTTCAAACTTTTACAATAAATCGTATATTTTTTTCAAACATCACTCAAAGGCTCGGTCCAAAATAGTGCACTAATATACTACTAAGGGAACTTAAGATAGAATCCAAACTGTTGTATTAATTTTATCCACAGTATATCATCATATTTTTTTTTTTTTACTGGATGTCTACGCTGGTGACCAGTTATGAGTAACTATTAACTTTTTTTTTTTTTTACTACAGTGGAAGTTCACAAAAAAAAAAAAACAGGAAAAAATACCTTAATGTTTGATATATTGTGCATTGTATAGGTCTCTCTCAAATACATCTTTCCATTTACCATGTCATTTAATTTCAATGCAGAAAAGCAAAAGCATTGAGAGATTCATAGAGAGATTTGAACTAAAATTGTGATGCAACAGAAAAGACAAAGAAAACACGACGTTTCAAAAGCATTTGAATGATCTTTTATTGTCCTTTGTCTCTATGCACACATGAAAATACATTTACGTTGAATGTAATTATGGCAATATTGTACATACACGCACATATTAACATGTATGTGGTGCGTTTCAAAATGTTATACTAATAACAAATGTACATTAAGTACACAAATGTGCAAGTGTATCCAATGTACAAATATGGTATATGAAATGTACCTACATTTCATATAGAATTTTCATATAGAAAAATGCACACACATCCACATGCACACTACAGTTCACAAAGGGGGGAAAGCGATTTACTTCAATTGAAAAACGAAAGGAAAAATTTGCATGTAGAGACCTTGGAGAAGACCTATACAGTCCACAATATCCCAGATCGCGGCGGCATAACGAATCGTCGAGTTCGTGTGCATCATCTCTGCCTAATGTGTCTTTTCAGTATGTGCAGCTACTCCACTGCTCAGTGTACGGACAGACAGTCTTTCTGAGGTAGACTGCTCAAGTTAAAGAACAAGCCTTTTTCGTTTTTTTATACGTTTTTTGTCTTATTTTCTTTTATACAAATGTGTGACATTCAAAAAAGACAGAACATAGGTACTACATGTTAATATGTAGCAATGAGGTAGAAATGGTCTTAAAGACTAATGGTTGAAAAACAAACACTGGTGACACTTGAAGAAACAACCATCCACAACAGCGCCGAAGCAAATTAACACACAAACCGGAGAAGAACAACAGAACAAAATCAAGTGTATTTATAGCTACACAGGAGACTTTGTACTTTTGGGATGTTCCACATTTCCTTTTTCTTTGCAAATCAATTAAAGGAATGTTCCGGTTCAATGCAAGCGAAGCTCTATCGACGGCATAATATTGATTACCGCTGAAAATAATTTGGACTAATCTCTCAGTTTAAAAAAAAAAACTAATCAAAATTCATAGTTACAGTAACACTTAGAATGGAAGTAAACAGGTCAAGAGTGCTGGAGGGTTTAAAAGCATTTTTGTTAAAGCACTTGCATGAATTATGCAGCACAAAGCTGTACATTTGTTTAAATTGACCTTTCTGAAGTGGGAATACTTTTCTAGTGGATGAACGCCTGAATATCATGATAATTCCTGTGAGTTTTTGTTGAGCTTTACTGTACACTGTCATGACACTGAAGTTAAAAAATTGGATACAGCTTTAACAAAGATAGCAAATTATATTAAATCAAACTAGTCTTAATCTAGTCTATAATATATTGGCTATAAATTGCAAACAAAAAGAACTGGCCCCGTGTTCTTGTAAATGTTACATGGACCTCGGTTTGCGTTAAAAGGAGTGTTGAGCCCAAAAATATTTTCTGTCCTAATTGATATTATGCTACTAATGCTGTCAAGAACATTTCTTTAGCCAATTACAAAGAGCTTTCAAGAATACAATTTTAGTAATCTGTTTTGTTCAAGGGCATTTAGGCTTCAAATCTTCAGAGATATGGATCAGTTTGTGATCTTAAATAGTTTTGTTCGCTTTGGTTTTGAGGGAGGACAATTAAGTGGGATAGGCTTTAACACAAAACGTTAAAAGTGCATTTGACAAATTGCACAATAGTAACTTTTCTTCAAAACAACACAAAACAAAAACAAGAAAGCAGAATGAAAATACCACTTAAGTTTCCACTTTAGACGACAAAACAAGGCTAGAAATCATAGTCCTTTGGGTGTACATATCACTTTACGAACATCGTGAAGAAAGTGGTGTCTCACAGCTACTGGAAAGACTATCTGGATGTCTGTCAAAAAAGCAGATATTTCTTCAAGGATATGTCATATATATACACACATGTATTGGAGGTCTGGTGCCTCCAACTGCTAAATAAGCACCTTAAAATGGTGTCAAATTACACTGCAGTGGACAAAAAAGAAAGAAAGTTGAAAACAGTGCATCCTTTCCAACATTTGAGACACATGATATAAAGGCAGAAAAAAAGAGAGAGACTGATTGAGGGACACATCGCTTCACCAACTCTCTAGTGCTAGACAAAAAAAGCGGACACAAACGATCAGAGAAAGTAAACATATCAAGAAACAAACAAAAAAAATACATTCAAACACAAGTTTCCTCTTACAGTTACCAACACCCTGTGCTACCTTGGGCTAGAAACATACTGTATGCAAGTACACGAATGCAAAAGCTTAATTAAAACATCGCAAGAGCCTGTTGCACATACTCGCAATATCGTGGAAGAAAGATACCTCCATACTCAAGGGGCGATAGAGTTTCCTTCAAATGTCTGCACCAGGAAACTGGGTGTACAAACATAAACATATAAAGAGTTTGACTAACTTGCTCAGCAAGATTCTATAAATAAACTGTTGTGCCGCCATTATAGTAGCTGTTATTGATGCTGCATCCCAATTCGCCGCCTTATACTAAGCCCTAAAAGTATGTTCTCTTTGGTACATACAATTTCATCATAATTGCGTCTTTAACAGACCGCTCTGTTACTTGGTTATGTGTATTCCATCCCCGTTTAAACTACCCTGTCAATCATCTTGTCGCAGTTAACATCCTCCACATTGCATTTAATTTAGTCTTCTACCATATTGGAGAGAAATTAAGTAGCACATTGATCTACCAGTCTGTTTGCATGATGCATTTAAAAGTTAATGACCAAACGTATCTTTACAAAAGTTCACAATGTTATATAATAGTGTGGATAACATTACATAAACATTATCGGATTAGATACTGATTAATAATCACAAACTTTCTCTACTTAACCGTCGGTCTCGCATGTCCACCATGTTTGTAGTTTTTAAACACTTTTTATTTGTGTTTGTAGTTCTATTTGATGGGTTGGGTTGTGGGCAATATTAGCCGTTAAAGTGTCCATGGAACCACACAAGTACCTTTGTAACACTCATTTCAACATAGGCCTACAACCATTAGAAAAAGTTTATAGTAATGATACTTTAGTGTCACTTGCATTACGTTATGAATTGCAGTCTGACGCATTTTGGAACGCAACAATGCTATCAATCTTTTAACCTGCATTGCTATAAGCACTTGCATACTTGCGTAGAGTATGTTTCTGGCTTTAGGCAACGTGGCCCCAGTAAGTGGCACCACAGAGACCCCCATCAATAATATGTGTGTGTGTGTTTACACAAAGGGGTGTTTAGAGTCATCTGGGCACTCAAAGCAGAAGAATTGCACAGGTAGTGTGAGACAAACGTTTGTTGTTTCTTTTTCTTTTTTTGGAAAAAAGGCAGCTTGTTCTTTATGGAGGCTTCAGAGCAGAGCAAACCTAAAGAGGTTGAAGACACCAAGCGCTCAGCTTTCTGTTCTAGTTGCAGAGAAAATAGTGCTAAACTGAGGTAGAACAGAATGCAGGGTACACGTGATCCTTCAGATATCTTTACACCAACACCACACAGCAGCAGGACAGAGTCCGAAACAAAAACGAAACATACGTAACTGTTACGAAGAATGTGAAAATATTTCCACTTCAAGAATCTGGTAGCCTCTTTGTAAAGTTTTGGTTCACCCTAACTCTATTTTGCAGAAAGGAGACAAACACGCAAATGTTGACGTCTACTGCATTCTCTGGCGTGGATGTGGTTTCGGACGAAGTTTATCTACACAACAGATTGTGCCCATCTCTGAGCGTTCGTTGTAGAGTCTGAACTGTGCTATGCAGGGAGGAACAGGTGCTGTACTCAATACTGGTACACAATTCTGCTTTCAAAACTTAAAGCAATGTCCACAATGGAATTTAAACGTAATTTAGAAAAAACAATAAGAATATAACGGAAGAAAATGAAACTCCCCAAATTTTTCTTCCAAACAACCCAGAAATGTTCTGGTTACATTCATAGTCATATCCTTTTCATTTCTTTTAATTGGTTGAGGTAAACCTAGAATTTTAGAAGAAGCAAATTAGAAACCAAACCCAATGTAGTCAGCAGTATGTAGTGCTATCGCATAATCTTTTTTGAGGTACTGTACAAATCACAATCACTTTCCTGAGTTTTTGAAGAAAATCAAACAAACGAATTTCATAACTTAGGATCCAGATTCAAAGTACAACATGGACCTTCTCCTGCCCTTCCTGGGGTCTACAGGTCAGACTTGATTGAGGAATACTGTTGTTCTTTTGAGAGAAGTGTCGAAAACAAGGAAAGGAACGAAAAGCAGAACATGTCTGATTTAGTTTCATGTTAAAGCTCTCTATATTAGCACATGCCACCAATGTAGATGGTGAGGCAAACAAATCCAAATCAATAAAGCACCACTTCAGGCACTTCATAGCAACAAAATCTCAAAAACAGCAAAATGATATTTACACACAAAGAAGTTTGTCCTCACTTACAGAGTTCCTCGGTAAGGGGATCTCTGTGTCTGCAGTACTGAGCCCAGAAAACAGTATTTCTCTGTCTGGATTATGTGCAAAGGGCCAGCCAGACCTTGACTTAAGTACAGCCATGCATCATTCAATTGTATCTGACCGTCCTTCAGGTTCTTCTTTAGGGGTCATCTACATTTGTAATAACCACACTGTTTAACTGCATGTGTCACCCAAAGAATTCTGAATTGTATCCCCTCTTAAGAGTAGAGGAGGTAACCCCACAGATTTCATTACGCCCTCGCTCTTTACTGACTACAACCAAACATCTTATTCCATTCAGTGTATGTATCGAGTTCTTTCTGTGATATGCTGGGCTGGATTTTGCAAAACACATTCTCAAAGTCTTGGTATGACACCGGTCTCATCTGACCTGGCATCATTCCGGAAAGGTCTGTGCCGGACATGCCATGGAGAGGACCAACCATGGCCTCCTGGCAAAGTCGAACCACATCCAACCCGGAGAAGCCGTCTGTCCGCTGAACAAGCAGCGCAACCTCTTTGTCACTGAGGCAGTAGTTGTGCTGTGAGAGCAGCTGGCTGATTATCTGGTGTCGTGCGGTGGCATCCGGTAAGGGGACGAGCAACCGCTTAACAAAGTACCTTCGTAGAGACTCATCAATCTCTTCGGGTTTGCTGGTGGAACATACTACTAGAACATGTTCCTCTGGAGAACTTAGAACTCCATCGAGCTGGAGGAGGAGTTCACTCTTGATTCGGTTCACAGGACTTTCTTCGTTCAACTGGGCAGACAACAGCAGATCTACATCACTGATGAAAACCACTGAAGGCTGCCGGCAGCGAGCGACAAGGAACGAGGCCTGGACGATCTTCTCACCCTCTCCAAGCCATTTTGTGACCAGTGCGGAGCCACTAAGGAGGAGGAAAGCTGAGCCAAGCTGACTGGCCATACACCGGCCAAGCAGAGTCCGGCCCGTGCCCTGAGGTCCAAAGAGAAGGATGCTGCGAGGTAATGTTGCCATACCGCTGAACATGTCTGGCCTCAGAATAGGCCACAGGACCTCATCTTTGATGGTGGCTTTTGCCATATCCAGTCCAGCAATGTCACTCCAGTCCACAGGGGGTGTCTGCTGCAGAATCTCAGTGGTGACCATCTCTACCAAACTAGCATCGCTGTTTTTTAACTGCTCCTCAGCAGGGTGGCTGGATGAAGTGGCCGTGCCAATGGAATGGGGGTGATGCTGTCTGTTGTCGTCACCGTGGTCACTCAAAACGGGGGAACCGAACTTTCCAAATGACTCGCCTGGCCGCAGGGATCCCAAGGAACCTTTGGAGGATCCGTAAGGAGGAGGGGTTAGTGCCCTGCCGGACTGGCTGCCGAATTTCCGCTGCTGATCCGGTGGCATTGACTGCTTTGTGGGCTTAAACGCCAAAGATGATGTGTCAGTATTCCTGTCAAATCCATTCCCTCTGGTTGAGTCAACAAGACTGTGGTCTGGCATTCTGTACATGGGGCTTTGAGCAGAACGCTGCTGGCTGTAGTTGAAATTTCCATAACTGGAGTCCATATCTCCCTGGTCCGTCATGTAAAACGCTTTTCTTTTCAGTGTGTTGGCTGAGCTGCCGTTCAAAGGTGTTGGTGCAATTGGCGCATGGTTGTGGGACTGGTAGGAGTAACCGGGAAGGGTGGAAGGGGGTAGGGGAGTGGGGGCAGCAATGCCTGAGGGCAAGTAAGCTGAGGGAGGGGGTGCTCCTCCTGGGCTGTAGCCTGGGGCAACAGCAGTCTGTGGGGGATAACCTGCTGGAGGGTAATTGTAACTGGAGAGATTGGGGGAACTTGCATTGTAGCTGGGCACTAGGGTTGGAGGTGGAGGCTGAAGGAGCCCGGCGCTGTGCAAAGGTGAGGGATGTGGCGACGGGAGAGCTGGTGTGCTTTGCCCACCGCTGTAAGTGGAATGCAAGTACGAGCCATTGTAACTGCTAGCGAATTCCTGAGAGGGGATCCCCGAGTGCAGTGCAGTAGACGCATGATTCCCGCAGTTACTGCTGGAGTAGCTGGGCTCGCTCAAGCTACCCACCACCCCTGTGGAGCTGCCGACACTTGCCGTCACATCTGGAGGAGGCAGGGTGACCGTCATGCCAGTCTTACTTGCAGAAATGACATCTGCAGCACAGCTCATTGGGTAGATCCCCTCCTGCCATGCTTCGCTCTCCGACTTGCGTCCGTTCAAGAGTCCTGGGGCGTTCTCGGAGTACGAGCACAGAAGCGCCCGTTCACTGGGACCCTCCAGGATACCAGAATACTTCTCTGCGTACTTCTTCAGAAGGTTGGAGGCTGTCAGTGCTGATATATCGTCATTGGCCCAGGCATACTGGTAGGTCCGCTGCAGGTGTCCGCGGTATGCCTCTGCTTTATGTGCGGGGGAACGTGTGGTGGATGAGATGTCAAAATGTTGCTCGGCCCACTGCGCATGCTCTGGGGTCCACTGCATCTTTAAGCCTAAACAATCAACAAACAAAAACAAGCAGGTGTGAGAAACTTGCACTCACGAATAGAAGCTGCCAGATCTGCCTTGCTGATTTATCTGAAAGTACTGAAATTTAGTTGATAACTGTAACGGAAGTGGTCATGTGGCTTAGTGTTGATGTGTAGTACAATTTTTAGTGAATTTTGAGCCAAATATATATTTTGCAGTTATGGCTTGCAAATGTTAATTACATAAAGACATTTTCATGCATATATTCTGTTTTCAAAATTTTTTCAGAGTACTGTAAATATTGCGAAAAATAAGCGTTATACAGAAATTAGTGCTGACCATTAAAAACACATTGGTCAACCACTGGGCTTTTCAGGGTTTTCTTTTTTGGCATGTCAGAATCAATGATCCAATAAGCAACTGCTATTGAAAAGAAACGAAATACACACAAACAGCAACAACAAGAGTAAAATATAATTTCCATTTTCCCCCATCCAGCTCTCCGAGAGTCCTGGCTTCATGTCGCAGACACTGCTGACAGTATCGCAGGAACAGTGCAGATTTGGGCCTCCAACACCTGGTTAGCACAGTATAATGCACCCTGCACACAGCCGAGTGACACAGACATCGCAGGTCACTCTATAATCCAACTCTCATCTAAAGCAGTCCCAGACAGTTTCAAATCTGCTTGGAGGAGTGCAGCAAAGCAATCTCCCAGGCAGCGCTCTACTGCTTTCATCACACAAACTCACAGCACGGCATGAATTACAACAGCTTTCTGTCTGCCGCCCGCTCGCCTCCCGGAGCACAGGGAACTGCAAAGGGGGAAAAACATGCCTGCCTCCCTCTCGTTCGCTCTAATGCTCCCCTTTCTCTCTCCTCCTTTTACTCTGACGCTCTGGGTTCTGCCTCTCTTTTTCTCGCTGTCTTTTCTCTCTGCAGCCTCTGTCTTTTATTGGCTCCGGGGCTCAAAAGCCACCATCAAGTTTAATCCCAAACTCCATCTGCAAACACAAGCAGTTACATACGCTGTCATCTTAGACACAGCATGGGATTATCAAAGAGACATTTACTCAAGAGCCGACGGGATGACGGGGGTGGTCGCACGCACACTCTCGCCGTCTGTAGATAGACTTCTGATGACAACAGCGTTCAGCCGCAGTGTCCAGCAGGCGTGTTATTGTGCACACACCTCCCGCTTATCTGAGCTTACTGGGCCTAAGCACTCACAAACACTATTCACAGCACAAAGAAGAAAGAAGATATCACCGAAAACGACGCTGTTTACAAGCTTTTAGCCATGAGCCCATGTACCTTGATCTCTAAAGCCTGTCAAATTACCTAAAGACTGCACCTTTTCCTGTACTCAACAGCAATTGGGTATTTAAAACTTAACATACCTCTCAAAACATGATATAAACACATGACCACCCCTTGTAGCATGTGCATCATAAATAAAATAAATCTGTTATCGATTAGAATAAACAATAGTAGGGATGCACCGAAATGAAAATTCTTGGCCGAAGCCGAAACCGAACAAAATGAAACACTGGGCCGAAGGCCGAATACCGAACACAGTTTTTCGAGTTTTTTTTCCCCCATGTATTTTGCCAATTTTTTCACCATTGCACAAATTAAATAGCCAAAATGTGCTTTTTTACTGTTCTTAACTTAAAATTAAAAAGTTAGTAAAATATATATATTTTTTTGGCCATCAGACCCCCTTCTTGAATCAGGCATGTATTTTTTACATTTCAGCGCAGATTTTACTCGTGCTTTGGACTTTGAACCCTGGTTAACAAGCAGATCAGCCGCGAGTTCGTGCAGCTGTCAGAATACATGCAATTCGTGCGTGTATTCGAGAACATAACGTTCTGCAGTTTATTTACTAATTGTTTAAGGCCATTTCGCGATTTGCGTCTTTCTCGGACTGCTGACATGTTTGTTGCATTGCGCCTCTCACTCTACGCTGGTTGCTATTTGATCGTGTCACGTCATTGTTCGGTACAGTTTATTCGGTCTTTTCGCTTATTATATAATAATTTCGGTTACCGAACATTCGGTGCATACCTAAACAATAGAACAATTAAACCCAAAATTGATAGCTACTGTAATGCTAATAGTAATAATATATTATATATATATTAGTGCTGTCAAATGATTAATCACGATTAATCGCATCCAAAATAAATGTTTTTAATTGTTTAAGGCCATTTCGCGATTTCAATCATCATACAGTAACCAGCAACAATCACCCCTTCCTCTTCTCATCGAAGACATGTGATGCAGCACTAAACAGTCTCTCTCTGTCGGTGCTTGTAATGATTTTTGCGTCTTTCTCGGACTGCTGACATGTTTGTTGCATTGCGCCTCTCACTCTACGCTGGTTGCTATTTGATCGTGTCACGTCATTGTTCGGTACAGTTTATTCGGTCTTTTCGCTTATTATATAATAATTTCGGTTACCGAACATTCGGTGCATACCTAAACAATAGAACAATTAAACCCAAAATTGATAGCTACTGTAATGCTAATAGTAATAATATATTATATATATATTAGTGCTGTCAAATGATTAATCACGATTAATCGCATCCAAAATAAATGTTTTTATTTACATAATATATTAACTATATATACTACTCTAACTATGTACATGTACTGTTTATTTATTATGTATATGTATATATAAATACACACACATGCATGTATACATTTAAGAAAAATATGTTAT